AGAGAGGAACTAGAAATTCGTGTCAGGGCCTACCTAGGTACCTGTGATGCCTCCATGTGAAAGTCAGAGCACACTTGCACACACGGAGAACAAACGGTCAGACGTCGCCGTCTCCAAGGCAGCCCTAGAGCGGGGTGCGCTGTAAGACAAAGTACAACTACCTCTGCCCACTGGGTGCTGGGGGCCAGGAGAAGAAAAAGCTAGAGTTTAACTAGGGCAGTGGAGAGGCTCTGCCTAGGGGCGCAGTGGAGTCTTCTTGCTGAAAATACTCACAGGATCTCATTCATTCTCCAGGTACCAGCAGCACCTGCTCTCCAGCTGACCAGCCTACCTGTCATCATGCCCCGGGGACACAAGAGCAAGGTCCGTGCTCAGAAGAAACGCCGCCAGGCCCGAAATGAGACCCAGTCTGTCCAGGATGTTCCGGCTGCAGGGGCACAGGGCGGGGAGGCCCCCTCCTGCTCTGCTCTCCCTGGAGATGATGCTGCCAGCTCCTCTGCAGCTGGCCTTCCCCAGAAGTCGCAGGGAGCTCCACCCACTGCCTCTGTTGCAGATGCCCCCTCACAGAAAGGGTCTGGGAAAGGTGCTAAGGGCAGGAAGCCTGAAAAGGCAACTACTTCTAAGCCCACACGCTCTACTGAGAGCTTAGTGAAAGATCTCCTAATGAAGAAGGCAGGAATGGTGATGCACTACCTGCTGTACAAGTATAAAATGAAAGAGCCCATGTTGAAGGCAGAAATACTAAAAATTATCCATAAAAGGTTCCGTCAGGAATACCCTGAGATCCTCAAAATGGCTGCTGATCGGCTCGAACTACTGTTCGGCCTTGAGGTTATAGAAATCCATCCTGGCTGTGGCACCTACGCCCTTGTCACCAAGCTAGATAGCTCCAACATTGTGCTAAGTTTCAGCGGCTTGAGCTTCCCCATGAATGCACTCGTGATGCCTCTCCTTGGGGTGATCTTCTTAAATGGCAACAGTGCCTCTGAAGCACAGATCTGGGAATTCCTGAGTATTTTGGAGCTTTATGATGGGAAGGAACACATAGTCTTTGGTGAGCCACGAAAATTTATCACTGAAGATCTGGTAAAGTTAGGGTATCTGCTGTACGAGCAGGTACCTCACCGTGACCCTCCGTCCTATGAATTCCGGTGGGGCCCACGGGCATACACTGCGACCAGCAAGATGAAAGTCCTTGAGTTTTTGGCCAAGATTAATGATACCGTCCCCAGTGCTTTCCCTACCCATTATGCGGAGGCTCTGAGAGAGGAGGCATTGAGGGCCCAAGCCAGAGCTGCAGCCAGGCGTTACGCTGCTTATGTATGTGCTGAAGGTTGCAAGGCAAAGTCCAGCCCCTCTGCCCCTCAGTGAGAGTAACACGAATATTTCACTATACTTAGGAGGAGGCGTCCTACCTTGCAAGTGATGGGAGAGTGACATGGAGCTAGAGAGGTCATTAAATATTCCTATATTCCTGTTACACTTTAATTTCTTTCAAATGTTTTTCCTTTTGATAGAGTATTTGTTGAATTAACAGACTCACATGGTTATTGTTGCCATCAAATTTATGTGTATTAATTTTGGATTTTTTTAACACCATTTAAAATCTTGCTCTATTTTTGTTAGGATTAATGCATGGATTTGGAATGGAGATTTTTCCTGCAAATTTGTTAAAGAACCCCTCAAAATATGGCTGGGGTCTTAAAATAGTAATAGCAAAGCACAACATGCTAAAATATTTGTTTGCCATATTTTCATTTGTCTCCTTTTTTTTTGTAAAGTTCGGAGAGATATACCTGGATGGTATTAGCTGATGCAAGAATGTAAATTAAATTAAATAGTAATCAAATAATAATAAACTCTGTCTTGTTCGCTGGCTCATTTATTCTCATCATTAATTCAGTATCTGGCTTTTGGAAGAGTCTGTGCCTGTAGTAATCATGTTAACATGAAAATGACCCATCCCCTGATCTTAAATTTTTGGAGTCTAAAGGAAATTTTTATATAATGAAGATAGTGTGCTGTTCCTTGATACAGAGCAAATGAAAAAGGGTCAGAGTGGAGCAAGGGGCTCTAGATGAGAACGGTCAAAGCACTTAGTGCATTAGGATAGTGCAGTCTCTTCTTGAGAGCTCTCATTAAGTTACCCACATCCCAGGAAGATAAGCCTCCAGCATCTGTGCACCTTGCCCAAGGCCTCTGAAGGTGATGTCAAAATTAAGTCTAGAATGGTAACTTGTCCTTAGAAATTTCTCTTGAATTATAAAGCAGAAGAAAAATTCTGCCTGGAGAAGAGTGGAAAAGAACGGCACTCCTGTCTGAGTGCATTTGGACAAAGTGCACAGGCTAGTGCTTCGTACAGGTGTAAAGTGTTTCGGAGAAATAGGAGGTATTTTCTCCTGAATGCATGGGGAGACACTCATTGCCAGGAGGTGAGAACCTGAGCATTTTGTGTGCCTTCCAGGAGATGATAGTCACAACTGTCATTCTTTAAATACACAGTATTTGCTGCCTTCCCGGTGTTTAAATTTGCTCTGCTAAAGGGCAGAACTGCACACTATAAGCCTAAATCCCCTGGGCCCACGTTTTGCACCTTCTCTCTTCCCATGACTCCAAAATGTTTCTAGAGGAATGAAATCTACTCTCTGACCAAAGTTCTAAGAAACCAGGCCTAAAGAGGGAAAGGAAAAGGGAGATGAAAGCTGCGAAAGCTGCCTGCGGACTGCCCTCAAGCTGCACTTGACACGAGTGCTGCGCCTCACACTGGCCCCTTGAGAGCCGACTCTGTCCTGGGCTCAGCCTCGGCCCAGCCCCAGCGCCTTTCCCCCTTGCATTGTCCTTTCCAAGTGTGCATCAGTGAGCCCGTGTATCCACATGGGACCTGAAGTCCTGGCCAGTTCACACCTTCTCTACAGCCTACACTGGCTCCCGAGGAACAACCAGCCCACACTCCTCTGTCTGTCCCATCACCGAGGGTTGCATCTCCCCGGATGCCCTCTGCTCACAATAGACTCTGGCTTAAAAAGCCCCATCCATGTACTTGTACTCTTCAGGGTACTGAAGCCTAGAAACAGCTTCACCCCTCCTGGTGCTGCCACCCACTGCTCCCCCCAAATATTTTCAGATCTTTAGCTGAGCAGTTTTTTGGCATAGATTCCTTGACTTATTTATAACCCTAGGGCTAGAAAAGATGTCTTAAGTCAACTTGATATTTGCAGGAGAATTTGAATGGAGTAGTTCATTTCAGATTGGCCACAGAATACATTTATTATCTAAGCTTCATTGTTGAATTGAAACATATACGTAGTCCATCATTAAACAATTTCCTGCAAAAGGACAGAAATTTTACTCCCATTTGTTGTCATGATTACTAAAATAAATGCCTTTTAGATATGAATTAATGGGAAAATATACATTGTTCCTTATGTGAAAGATATGGCAAAGAGTAAATTACAACAGTTGTGACAATTGTAAATTTTCATATATTTTGCTAAAATTTCAATACAAAATTCTATATATTGAGTATTGTCAGGACAATTTAAAATATCCAAATACCCTACACTCTCTTGGGCATGTTCTATCATTAATCTTTTTTTTTGGTACCGGGATTCGAACTCAGTACCTTGTGCTTACCAGGCAGACACTTAGGCCACTGATCTATATCCCCAGTCCTATCATTAACCTTTTAAGTCTTACTTAATTTTGGAGTAAAATTTTTTCTCAGCTTACTTTAATGAGTGTATTTTTGTTTTCTCATTAGTATAAGTAGAAAATTTACTTAATCTTTCACCTATATAAAATGAAATTTCTACAATGTTATAGTGAGTAACAATTCCTTTGGACATTCCTTGATATTTTAAAATATCAATAAAACATAGCCGTTTAGTTTGAGAGGTGAGGATTTAGCATGAAGTGGCTCCACACAGGACACAGTTACAGAGGAGCATCAGGAGAAGATGAGTCCATACCAATTGTCAGTGCCACGAAAGAGACACTCTGCTGAACTAGTTCACAGAGCTGCATCTATAGTCCAATAGAAGATAAAGAAGAAACCAGAAGAGAGAGAGCGGAGAATCTGGTGGAGCACCTGGACAAATTACACGTGCTTAGGGAGTGTCTGAATGATTATTACCATGGTCAATTACAGGGTGATCTGAGCAAGTGGACTTAACAGATGAACTGATGCAAGCCAGACACCCATCCTCTTAGAATTTCCCATACCTGGTGTCAGGCAGAATATATGTAACTCACTTGTGTCACAGAGTGTATTAATGATGGATTCTGGAAGCACCCATGACTTGATCTCACTGAACGTGCAGGGCATACTGGCCAGGCAGCAGAGGTGAAAGCTGTCTTGATGTGTGCCTGAGATGGGCTTTCTTTCTCAGAAAGAAGGCTGGCTACACTGATGCTCTCCACTGGGTCAGGACTATGAGAGTAGACAAAGTTATTCATGAATGAGGGACAGTCACTGAGGATGTGATGCCATGTGAGGCTGGCTAGGAATACCTGTGAGCAGTGCAAGGAAGTGTGCAGCTGCCAGGAGAAGGTCTGGTGCTGGTTACTTCAGTAACACGACAAATAAATGACAAGATGAATGGGTCTTCTTAGAAAATCCAGATGATTTCCTCAGCTCTGACTTTCTCCCGTAGTTCCGAGTTCTTGGCACCCTTGTGTCACGTTTTCCTGACTGTGTTGCTGCCACGTGCTTCCAGTGGGACGGCACTGAAGCAAGGCACAGGATTCCTCGGGATGAGGGGAACTGATGCGGGTGCTATAACCTTGCTAAGACGATGGAGATGAGGCAGATGTCTGGGGTCTGATGAAGGATGTGTCGCATACCATCCTGTTGCACAGCCTTGAAATCCAAGATGAATGTTTTAAGGCCTAAAACACAACTGTTCACTGTCACACCCAAGTGATAGTTTTCCATAAGAGTTCACGTTAGCTGAGCAGCTGTAGCATTTTGAGATTCGTCCATGGAGGCAGGAACTTCTAACTGGGAAGTGCCACATTTTAGTGCTTGACTCACCCCTTCATCCAGTCATCAAACACTTACAGAACACTTTCCGAGGCAAAGGCCAAGTATTCATGGGAAAAGGCACTGATTCAGGCTTACGTTTAAGGCCTGTGAAAGAAAAATTCGAGTTCTGGGAATTTGGGAACTTTGTGAAAAGGTGTGGGAAAATCAACAGTAACTGTGTTCTCAAAGCTGCCTGGCCAGGGAGGCGATTCTTCCCTGAACCTCGACTGAAAGAAATGAGGGAGAAGAGTTGGTGACAGTAGGAGTTATGAGTAGAGATGAGGAAGAGTGTGGTGAATGAGGCCAGTGAAGGTCTTTTAAATGACAAGTTAGTTTTAAATGATGTGTTGATTTTTTAACTGGGATTTCCTCAGTTTATGAGAATATGTTCTAACTCTAGACCTATAGTACTGGGCCAAAAGCGACATTGTTATTAAGTATTTGAAATGTAGTATTTCTGAACTGAAGTGTTCTGTAAGTATAAAGTACATTTTATATTTCAAATGTATAATACAAAAAATGGGATATCTAAAAGATCTCATGAATAAGATATGTGATTAAAATTCTTTTCAACTGTTACTTTTTTCTTCTGTGGCTGTTAGAAAATTTAAGACTGTAATATAGCTCACACTTGATTTCTCTTGGATGATGACAGTAATCTTTTCACTCAGTAAAATTCAGATGAAATTGTTTAATGAATAAGAACACAGGCCAGGGTTGGTGGCACATGCCTGTAATCCCAGCACTCTGGAGGCTGATACAGGAAGATTGGTGAGAGTTCAACCTCAACCTGGGCTACACAGTGAGCTCAAAGCCAGCCTGAATTACACAGCAAGACCTTGTCTCAAACAAGCACACGAACAAAGGATACAATTGTGTTTTCAATGTCAGTTACAATTATCAAGATGTTTCCAGCACTAAAAAGCAGTAAGTCAGTATTAAGCAATTTTTTTTTCTAAATTAGGGTCTTTAATACAGAAATGTAGGAGGCTGAATAATTGCTAAGACCCCTCTGGCTCTAAATCTATATGATTTAATTATTCACATAATCTCCTAAGTAGTGAAGATCCAAGAGGTAGACAATTTACTATATGTGAATGAATTAATGAAGAGAGGATGGGAGAAAAGGGTAGAGGAAATGAAGGAAGAAGGGAGAAAGGAAGGAAGGAAGTGATTTTTAAATGGACAGTAAGTATCTTACGAAGCACAAATACACCAATAAACAAGTGAAATGAATAGGATTCCAAGCATGTAAAATATGAAACATTTGTAAGTATTTGTATCTAACACAAGAGATAGCATGAATTGAGTCTCACTATGTACAATGATCTTTAATAAATTATCCGTTCTGCTAGAAATTATACCAGGGGCAATAACAAGAGATGCATACAAAGTTTTGGGTATGAGGATGGTTGTGCTGGCAAATCATAAACCACAGCCAAGGCCAAGGGTAGAATTAGGTAATTTCCTGCTGCTCACTGGCACGACTGTGGACCTATGGCGACCATTCCTTCGGTAACAGAAATAACTAGGAGACATATTGATTCCTGCTTGAGCAGGAAACATAACTATCACTTTTATCTGGACACAAATGTAGATAGATATTAGTGCATTTGTTGGGATAAGCTGATGATAGCAGGGAAAATTTAGACAGCATATGTAAAAGATATTCTTAAACTAACACATATCTCAACACACAGATTTCATTTTTAGTGAATGAAATGCACTATGATTGAATTATTAACTCAAATTCCTCACCTTTCCTTGCATCTCTGTTCTTGTCATAGCTACATCACTAGCTCACTGTTCTCCTTCATTTACTACCTTTGGGCTCAGTACCATTTCTTGACTTTGG